ATAATTTTTTTCCTGTAATTGAGATCTAATCTTACTGCACTGTGGTCAGAAAAGATGACTGGAATGATTTCAATTTTTTTGAATTTACCAAGACTAGATTTATGGCCCAGGATGTGATCTATTCTGGAGAAGGTTCCGTGTGCACTTGAGAAAAAGGTGAAGTTGATTGTTTTGGGGTGAAACGTCCTATAGATGTCAATTAGGTCCAGCTGGTCCATTGTGTCCTTTAAAGTTTGTGTTTCCTTGTTCATTTTCTGTTTAGTTGATCTATCCATAGTTGTGAGTGGGATATTAAAGTCTCCTACTATTATTGTGTTACTATTAATTTCCCCCTTTCAATTCTTGGTAGAAAAAGTAGGCAGAAAATTAGAAAGGTAGACTTGAACTATTAAGCAACTATTAAGCAACATGAGGTAATTGGAAATGATAGACCACTTGACCTAACGACAGCAGAATATAATTTTTTTCAAGTGGTCATGGAACATTCATCAAAATACACCATATTCTGGGCCATAAACAAGTCTCAATAAATGCAAAAGTATTCAAGTCATACAAAGCATGTTCTCTGATGACATGCTATTAAATTAGAAATTGATAACAGGACTATCTCTAGAAAATCCCAAGTATGTGTTAAGTAAATTACATACCTCTAATTTTATTATGATCTTGATGGACAGAGAGGTCATCCTCCACTGTCTAGGTCACTGTGTACACTGGGAAATTGGAATAAAGGAAAGAAAAACTATAAAAACTTGTTTCTCCTGCATAGAAGAAATACAGATAATACTTACATAAGAGTTCAATTCAGGGTTGAGGTAGAAAGGTCCTTTGGGGCTACTGATCAGTGTATTGGCAGGGATCTGGTATGGATCTGTTTCCTTTATTCCCAGTGTCCCAGTCACCAGATTTCTCAAGGGGAGAAACTCAGTAGCTTTGCAAACGCATTAATGGATCTATATGGGGCCAATTATTCTTACTTCTTCACCTGCCTGCTAAGCCCTCATTAATGAAGGCAACATCCTCCCCAGCTATGAGCTCATGGGCCACCCATGGGAAAAGATGGCTTTGGGGTGTACAGGACCAGCTGGGAGTGCCTCTCAGGGTGGGGACTGCCTCCCTCCCCTCACCACGTGAGAGGTTAAAGTCAGTAGCAGGCTCTGATCCCCAGCCTCAGTCTATGGACCCAATGAGTCTGGCTTTGTCATCACTGTTTTTCTAATGAAAGATTGTGTTCTGACCTCCAGAGCAACAGCTCTGCTACCAAGTCACATGCTCTGTTGGAATTAAATGGTTTTCTTATGAACATCTAAAGCAAACTTGAAGGAGGAAATTCACTGGTACTTGACTATCACCAAGTAATACTCAGATTTCTGGGAATTGTTAACTACTGATATGTCTTCTGGAAGGAAGGGAATGTCCAGGACAACCACCTTATCCTACAGGCTGATCTGATTTTCCAGGACATGGAGAATTCTAGCAACTCAGAAAAGGATATTTATATGTGGCTCAGGGGAAGATACTCCATGTTTCTCAAAGTGTGGTCAGTGACCACCTGTTTCAGATTCACCAGATTTGGGGGCCTGGCTTTAGATTTACTAAATCACATTTTCTGAGGCTGGTACCTAGAATCTGCACATGCAGCAAACTTCTCCAGGTAACTATGGGCAGAGCACCTTAACACTTCAGAACCATTGTTTGCGGTCATTGCTGCTCCCTCTGGCAGCCTGCTCTCCGTTGTACTCCCACTCTGTTATCCTAAGGAGGAAGTCAAAGAAACAGGTATAATAAAACCCCTTGCTTATTCCTCCCTCATCTACAGGCCTCTGGCACCTGCTTTCACTCCTAAACACTCCACCCACCATGACTAGACTAGACGGCTCAAATTTTCTTCCTAGTTTCCATTCACAGGTATAAACTACAGCCAACAGAAATAGTGGTTACTCCAGCATCCTTCCCCACCCCCCCGCCAAGATGAACTACTTCCATTTATTTATTATTATTTTGGCCCTGTTGCATAACATGTGGGATCCTAGTTCCCCGACCAGGGATCAAACCTGTGCCCCCTGAATTAGAAGCAAGGAATCCTAACCACTGGACCGCCATGGAGACCCCACTCCAGCATCCTTTGAAAGACTGTCAGAAATGTCAGTTTGTCCACAATCCCTTGCTTGACTAACTCTCTATACTCTGAATAGTTTTGAATTTAGTGCAGACTGGAGAAGAGAAGAAGGATGACAGAGGAAAGGGGAGAAGAAGAGAAAGTGAGTAGACATAAAGCAAGTAATAAATCAGAGGCTGTGATCAGCTACCATTGCATTACCCCCTACCCTACCCTTCTCTATGCCACCTCCCGGCCTGTTGGCCGCAGTCCTACTCTTCCCAGCTTCTGTCTACTCTTAATCAGAGAAGCACTTGCAGACCTGTTGCCCACACTGAAGCCACTCACTGAAGAAGGTGTGAACTTGGCTCTTAGGTTCTACTTCACTCATAATAACCATTTCTCAATTTCTTGAAGTTCCTGTAAGTTATTTCATCCTGAGAGTTTTACAGTTAATTCTTTAAAGTCCTTGTCATTTGCCTTGAAGCTGAGTTGGCTTTTGACACCAGTAGGGCCAATGACATTTGCAACCCAAATCTGGGGCTGTCTACAATCCTGCAATAATAGGGTTTATTATAAACTAGAAACTGTTGGGTTCAGAATGGCTGAAATGTTACATCTCAGTGACACCAAATAAGTCAGTTATGCTCCATGTGCTCTAAAAGATGTTATCAGTACCCTGTGTTCAAATTTGCCCTCTTGGGCTTTGTATTGCAACTTTATTAGAGCATCTTATCTCTTTGGGCATTAAAATGATTTCTTCCAGTCACCGCTCACAGTGTTCCATCAATAGCCATAGTGCCTTCAGTATTTACTTGATAGCTAAATTTTTTTTAAAAATTTCATTTATTGATTTGGCTGTTCCAGGTCTTAGTTGTGGCATGTAGGATCTTTAGTTGCAGCTTGTGAGCTATTAATTGCAGCATGTGGGATCTAGTTCCTTGCCTAGAGATCAAAGCCAGGCCCCCTGCATTGGGAGCACAGAGTCTTAATCACTGGATCCTTAACCACAGGATCTTAACCACTGGACCACCAGGGAAGTCCCTCAACAAATTTATGGATAAATTTAGTTATCCATATTCCAGAGTCTTCCCGTGCTCTGGCACTTTGCTGATTCTGGAAAGTTTGCCAATGGGACAAACTAGAATCTTTTGCCTGTTCATGACAGCTCTTTCCTCTCTGCAACCTTCCCAACATCTTTCACAGCTCCATTATTTACTCCTCAGGGCAGGAGGAGGGGGCTCAGTTTTTTCCCTTTCTAGCCTCCTCAATCACATCTGCTGGTTTCAAAGTCTTCACAACTGAGGATCCTCACCAAACAGCACAGGATACTTAGCTGACTCCAGAGCCCAAGGTAATTCAGGAACAGAGCAGCTAATGGAGCAGGAGAGAGTGTGGTGTTCAGGTGGTACAGTTCAGTTCAGTTCAGTTGCTCCGTCGTGTCTGACTCTGTGACCCCATGGACTGCAGCATGCCAGGCCTCCATGTCCATCTTCAACTCCCATAGTTTACGCAAACTTATGTCCGTTGAGTTGGTGATACCATCCAACCATCTTATCCTCTGTCATCCCCTTCTCCTCCTGCCTTCAATCTTTCCCAGCATCAGGGTCCTTTCAAATGAGTCAGTTCTTCGCAGCAGGTGGCCAAAGTATTGGAGTTTCGGCTTCAGCATCAGTCCTTCCAATGAATATTCAGGACTGATTTGCTTTAGGATGGACTGGTTGGATCTCCTTGCAGTCCAAGGGATTCTCAAGAGTACATCATGACTTTATTCATCATGACTTTATTCATTTTCTGCATGTAAAAGTCATTTTTACAAAGCCCTAGTCCTGGGGAGGGGCTATTCCTTCCCTGCTGGCCCCAACACCCCTTGAGAACAAGGTGATTCTATTCATTGGAAATGATGGTGCCTTCATGAAGGATGGGTGATGTTTTCTCTTGGCTGATGCTCTGGAGTGCAAGGTCTCACTGTACACTCTGCAGCCTTATACTGCCCCTATTTCTCCACATCCCAACCCCCATCACCTTTAGAGTCCACAATAGTGCTTGACTTGTGCCAAGTTCTGAGAGGCAATTTTATAGCTGAGCCTACGAACCACCCACCACTCCTCTAGAATTCTCCGGATCCTCTGAAGGCTTGTTTAGTCACTCTCACTTAGTATACGTTTCTCTTCTATTTTGTTTGGTGGTAGGTTGTTTGCTAAATCTTGTCACTGTTTCATTTATTTATTTTTATTGTTGTTTAGTTTTGTGTTAGATCTCTCTCTCCAACAAGAATAATCAAAGCTAACATTCTTTCTCAAAGTGCCAGGCTTTGTTCAAGTGCTTTACATGAATTAACTCATTGAATTTTTACAGTAATCTTTGGAGATTAGTGTTGTTATCCCTATTTTACAGAAAACTGAAAATCAGAAGAAAGGTTAAGTAACATTCCCAAGGTTACACAGCTGGCTAATGGTGAGGTCTCGGTTTGGAACCTTGCCAGTCTGATGCCAGAGCAACACAAAATATATAGTCTCTAGAAAATAGGGTTCCTGAAGTCAGGCATACTTGAATTCCTTACAGGAAGAACATAGAGCTAAGTTTATGGAAGATGGTCAATAAATTTTTGGTAAGTAATTGTTTCATAATTTAGAATTTTTTAAGATCCCTAAGAGACCAAATTGTGTATGTTTCTTTTCTATTTTCCATTGCTGCTCAAGTAATGCTTCCTAACTGACTAATCAGCCAAGTTGAGGAGAACTTCTCTATGACAGAATTCCACTGACGAAGCCAGACTTCCTCGGTGAGAGCAATCTTCAGAAGGCTGTCCTTAGGGCAGAATTAAACCAGTGAGAGCCCCTGGGTGTTCCACTTCTTTCTGGTGGCCCTCTCTTTCCACGTCGCAGAGCACTGAAGAAATATGGAAGTGGCCAACCTGAGCCGAGGGACTGAGTTTGAGCTTTTGGGGCTCACCAGGGACCCCTGGCTCCAGAAGCTTCTCTTCGTGGTGTTCCTGGGCATGTACACTATCACACTGCTGGGGAATCTAATCATGTTTCTTCTGATCCATGTAAGTGCCACGCTGCACACACCCATGTACTCCCTCCTGAAGAGCCTCTCCTTCTTGGATTTCTGCTACTCCTCCACAGTTGTCCCCCAGACTCTGGTGAACTTCTTGGCCAAGAGGAAGGTGATCACCTATCTAGGCTGCGTGGTTCAGATGTTTTTCTATGCGGGTTTTGCCACCAGTGAATGTTATCTCATTGCTGCCATGGCCTATGACCGCTATGCGGCTGTCTGTAACCCCCTGCTCTACCCAATTGCCATGTCTCCTACGGTCTGTGCCTCTCTGATTGTGGGATCCTATGGTGCAGGATTTCTTAATTCTCTGATCCACACAAGCTGTATCTTTAGTCTGAAATTCTGTGGTACTCACGTGGTCACTCACTTCTTCTGTGATGGACCACCCATCCTGTCTCTGTCTTGTGAGGACACCTCACTGTGTGAAATCTTGCTCTTCATTTTTGCTGGTTTCAACCTTTTGAGCTGTACCCTCACCATCTTGGTCTCCTACCTCTTAATTCTCATCACCATCCTGAGAATGAACTCAGCCCAGGGCAGGTTCAAGGCCTTTTCCACCTGTGCTTCTCACTTCACTGCTGTGTGCCTCTTCTATGGCACAACACTTTTCATGTACCTGCGCCCCAGGTCCAGCTACTCCCTGACCCAAGACCGCACAGTTGCTGTGGTCTACACAGTGGTGATCCCACTGCTCAACCCCCTTATCTACTCTTTGAGAAACAAGGATGTGAAAGAAGCTTTAAGAAAAGTTTGGGAAAGAAAAATAATGGAATGATCTTCTCAATTCATCACCATATATCTTGAGAAAGCTGAGGGAACTTTATCCCATGTTCAGCTCTGTTTATAGGAGGCACTCTCTGGTCTTCAGGGGCTTCTGCATCTACTGCCACAGAAAGAACTGATTGTGTCATAGAGACTAAAAAGAAGTAAGGAATGTCTGCTAGTTGCATAATTGGACCCACTGGAAATATTTAGGCATGCCTTTATTCAGATGCTTCTTTCATGTTTCCATGTGTGTGCATATTTTTTTATTACAACCGACATTTATATTCTTCACAATGAAGTTCTCCCCTTAAATAACCTGTACTGCTTGAGGGAAAGCCTTCCTTATTTATAATTGCCTGTTTGTAAAAAAACTGACTCCTTGACTTTAGCATTTTTTAATTGTCTAATTATTTGAGTAATACGGTAACAATTTCAGAAGCTCAGATGATATTCTATTGTCTTTACGGACTTTTTTCCTGGACAAGTAACTACTTAGTTGCTTCCAAACTGGGTGAACTTGGGCAAGTTACTTAGTTTTTCTGAGCCACAGATATCTCATCTTTTAATTGGTGTGAGTTTTAAGTATTCAGTTAGATATTACAGGTAAATCATTCAGTACATGATAGGCATTCCTGGACTTCCCTGGTGGCCCAGTGGTTAAGTCTCCATGCTTCCACTGCAGGGTGCACAAGTTTGATCCCTGATCGAGAAACTAAGACCCTGCATGTCTCGTGCCCCACCTTTTCCTTTCTGTCAGCTCCTGTGCATGCTCAGTTCCTTCAGTTGTATCTGATTCTGTGTGATTCCATGGGCTGTAGCCTGCTAGACTCCTCTGTCCATGGGATTTTCCCGGTAAGAATACCGGAGTATTCTTCTATTACTATGTCCTCCTCTAGGGAGTCTTCCCTACCCAAGGATGGAGCCTATAGCTCCTGAATTGGCAGGTGAATTCTTTACCACTGAGTCAGCGAGGAAGCCCTTTTTTTTCCAATAGTGTGGAATAATTTAAATAAGATAGGAATATTTGTTCTTTAAAAATGATACCTGCTCTGCTGTAAAACCACCTGAGACTGGTGTGTCTTTAAAAGGTAGACCTTTAATTATACTTACAATTTTTTATGTAGTTATTAATTTCATTTTAGGTTTTTCCCTGCTTATTGGGTCAATTTCATCATTTATATTTTGCTCAAAAATTATTTCCTTCTTCTAGATTTTCAACTTCATTGCCATGAGTTGTACATAATATTTTCTTATAAATTTTGTATTTGTTCTTTAGGTCAGCATCTCCACTTACTCTTCTAAATCTCTCCAGAGAGTTTGTTCCATTTTTTAGGACAATCCAAAAAAAGATCCTCTACCATAAAATGAGAAAAGGATTAAGTGGTCTGTAAGGATCTTCTGAACAACAACACTCCATGAGATAAACATTTGAAGAAAGGCAATGTTGAGGAAGGATTAAACATATATACTGCCTAATTCTAATCTAGCTCTGTCACTCACTAGCAATGTAAATTTGGGGAAGTTCTTTTATCTCTCTCTGTTAAGTATGTTTCATTTGGGAAATAGGGATAACAGTAAAATCTATTTTATGTATAAAAGTGTTGTGAAAATTAAATTACCTAATACTTACACTTGTGAAATTTAAATGATACAATATCTAAAACAGTGTCTGACCCATAGTAACTCTTTCATAAATTTGTATTAGCTGCTCACTTCTTTTGTGTGTTTCTGTGGTTATATTGCCTTACACATTCTTCATATATTTGTTTATTTTCCTTAATAACACTTAGCAGAGGATTTTTATCAACCTTTGAAAACATTCTGTTTTGCGGCTTTCTTATTTCTACAATTTATCAGTTTCCCATTTTATTAATGTCAGATTGTTCTTTATTAATTCCTTCTTTCTCTTCATTTATTTTGTTTTTCTTTTGTCAAGTGATTGTTTTTAAACACTGAAAATCTACAAGAGAATATTTTAAACATAGTCGTGTCTATTTATTACATAATGATTAAAAATAAAATGCAGTCACTCACTATCCAGCTAAAGAGGCAATATTACTAATCCACTAGAAATTGTTCTTGCTTTACCTTCCAGGAAGTGCTTAGTCATAGGTCATATCTTTTTTAGATTTTGGTATGCTGAAAACTGGAACATAGGTAAGATGGCTGGAGTACAGTAGGTATACTGAGTCAGAAGGTGACCTTGAGCCTGGAAGTACTATGCAAAGGATGGCCTAGCAGGAAGACAGAGGAGTTTGGGTCCCTGGGGACAGTATGAACCCATAATCTCTACCTCTGAGCTTCCTTTATATAAAAGAAAACAGACCCCGTCTTATAGATTTGGGATGTTATGTTATATGTGACTAAGCATAATTTACACTGCCATTGACATAGGAGAGCAGAGAAAATAGGTAATGTCATGATATAAACAAAATTTTGATTTTTTCCAAAGATGGGAGATACTATAACATACTTCATAGAGGAAGAAATTGATGGTATAGAAGAGAGAGGATATAGTTATAGGAGCAAAGCCTGTGAGTAAGGAAAAGGGATTGAAATCTAGCACACAGATGAGGGGACTGGCCTTAAATATTAATGAGAATAGTTCATCCATTGTCACAGGAGAGAAGGCAGACAGGTATAGGCCTAGGTAGTTCAGTAGCTTGGTGAAAAAGTTAAAGTAGTTTTCAATTGCATTTCTCTATTTTCTCAGTGAAATATGAAGTGAGTTATAAAATTAATTCTTGTTCATCTATAAAATGGGGATAATAGTGTTTGCTTTCAAGAGTAGGCCGCATATAGTATATAGGACATGGCTAAGTTTGCTATACGGTACTGAAATCTCTGGCTCAGTCTCCGTGGGGTCTCTGGATCCTGGTGTGCACAAGGTTTGTTTGAGTCCTACGAGGGTCTCTGGTGGGTGTGGGGTTTGATTCTAAATGCGACTTCACCCCTCCTACCATCTTGCTGGGGCTTCTCCTTTGCCCTTGGACGTGGGGTATCTTTTTTGATGGGATTCAATATTCTCCTGTCGATGGTTGTTTAGCAGCGAGTTGTAATTTTGGAGTTCTCGCAGAAGAAGATGAGCGCACGTCCTTCTACTCCATCATCTTGCTGCCAAAAACTTTTTCACCAAGCTACTGAAACACCTAAGCCTATACCTGTCTGGTTTCTCTCCTGTGACAATGGATGAACTATTCTCATTAACATTTAAGGCCAATCCCCTCATCTGGGTGCTAGATTCCAATCCCTTTTCCTTATTCACAGGCTTTGCTCCTACAGTTATACCCTCTCTCTTCTGCACCATCAATTTCTTCCACTATACAAATATGTTATAGTATCTCTCATCTCAGAGGAACCAGAGATCAAATTGCCAACATCCGCTGGATCATTGAAAAAGCAAGAGAGTTCCAGAAAAACATCTACTTCTGCTTTATTGACTACATCAAAGTCTTTGACTGTGTGGATCACAACAAACTGTGGAAAATTATTAAAGAGATGGGAATACCAGACCACCTGACCTGGCTCCTGAAAAATCTGTATGCAGGTCAAGAATGTAAGTGTTTTTATGACAATGTTTATGGTATGGCTCTTTAGCAGACTCAAAGTCTGTGGTGATCACTTTCATTTCTCCAATTTTTCTCTTCATGCTAAACAACTACTAGACCAGCATTTTCCAATGTATAGTTAGTGGATATATATAAAAACTCCTGAGCCCCATCCCCTAAAAAATTAACCTGCATTTTAATTTGTACTTTTAATTAACTTACCAAGGGACTCCCATGCACCCTAATGTTTTAGAACCATCACACCAAACTCAAGGGACCATGCCACTCTTATCCACCAGTGTAATCCCTACACCTGGCATAATAATTCAGTAATTATTGAATGAAAGAATGAATAAATTATGGCAATCAGTCATATTATTCCTTCAGAAACCAGAGAACACTTAACCTTAGGGCAACGGTTCTCAAGCTTCTTGGTTTCAGGATCCCAAACAGCTGAACCTTAGAAAATCCCAGGTATATACCCTACTATGTATAAAATCAATGAGAACCTACTGTATAGCACAGGGAAGTCTACTCAATGCTCTGTGGTGACCTAAACGGGAAGGAAATCTTTAGAAGAGTGGATATATGTGTAACTGATTCACTTTGCTGCACAGGAGACTGTCAGGGAATGTTTGACGGGAGGATTCCTGCGTGCTGTCTCTCATGAGTCCTCTGTCCCTCTTCAAGCAGAACAGCACGCTGCTCCCAGGGACTGAGGTCATTGTGTGAGGCAGGCTTGGGTCTCCTTTAGTAAACATTCTCTTTAGGACAAAATGCTTAGTCTCGTTCCCCTTTCTTGAGATATGGATTGTCTCCTGACCTTGTGACTAACATTACCCCTTGTTCCCTTGGTAACGGTTGCTGTACGTTTTCTGATCTCTATCATTCCCGAAAGAAGTTTCTTGTACCACAGCCTATATATACTCATAGGAAAATCATTAAAGTACCTTTGCTTCATCAGAGCTTAGGTCCCCGGGTCTTTTTTGTCTCTCTCTCACTCTCTTTCTCTCTCTCTCTCTCTTTCTGGCTGACTCTCCGGAGTGTGGAGACCCGTCGTGCTCACTTTTCTGCCCGGGCTTCTAAGACTCCCTCGAGAGGGCGCCTGGTGCCTTCGTGAGGGATGCAAGTCCCGTGTCAAGGACTTTATTGGTCCTCTGAGTAAACCAAGGGATATCAGCCTCTTTCTCTCTTTCACTTTCTTATTGTCGACTCCGTACCACCAGGTTCCGGTCCATTAAAGGACCCCAACAGGAGACACCTAACACAACATTGTAAAGCAGCTATATGCCAATAACAGTTGATAAAAAGAAAACTCCAGAAAACACAAGACTATACAAATCCATTGTCTATTAGCCATTAAAGTGATGATGTCATTACACTTCCTGTAGCCTCTGGAAATTTCCTCTGTGTACTTGTAAACACGTGAGAATGAAAGAAGAAAAAAAATCTTAGTATTATT